ATTTACCAGAACCTGGGTCATACGTACAATTTGATCTTAATTTAAACCCTGGTGATGATTGCTGATTACTTTTAGGTACGGCTGCCAAAGTTGCCATCAAATAAATCAGTAATATTAGAACAATGATCATTATTATAAGCTCGATGATATTTATGGCAAATAAAGTCCATTTTTTCATTAAAAAATATCTGCTACGTTCGTGTATGTTATAATAATTAACCATGTTGAATTAAACAAGTCAAGTTTAATGTTTGAATTATTTGTAGTATACTGTAAATATTATTTAAACAATCAGTTATACATCAAATTATTTTTAATAAAACTTCATAAAATTATAAATAATTATGGTATTGCAAACTTTTAAGTTAAACTAACATTTTGCGTGGATTTCACATGCCTTCCTGTGTGGGTGTATTTAAATGTAAATATAACATTGAATCTTAATTTTCGCATAAGTCTATATGTAAACTGTAACATAAAATTCTGCTTAACATTAAAAGCATTATTTATTAAGTACTTAAATCTTCTAACATTGGCACCGAATTCAAAGCACAACAGCTTATAATAACAGTCTGTTATATGTTTCGGATTGAATGCTTATAAAATGCATATCATATGATTTCTAAATCATTTAAAACATATTTATAGATAATATTAGGTGTTAAATAATTTGTTTACACAACTTAATCTTGGTCAAAATTATAATTACAAATACTAATAATTAACAATTAATTAGAAATTTCAATAATTACTATTTTATATCAATAGATGGCTAAACGGGTTTCATAAATCTTTTATAAGAATTATTAAAATTTTATTTCACATAAAACTCCAGTTTATGATTGTCAATTAAATAAATAAAGTTAATAATTCAATACACAGGTAATTTATTAACAACATTTTGATACTATATCATCAAGGTAGAAACTCGAAACAAACACATTATTAATGCACTAAAAATATTTTTTATTAGCAAATTGACATGGATAAATCAAAATTTAGCTATTGATAAGTGCGAGACGCTGCGTTTCGAGTAGAGCCAATTGTGCTTGGTTGCCCTGGTTAGCCTTTTTACTATTGTAAATAGTGGTGAGCTGTTCGAGGTCTGCCTGGGTATGTTTGGAGCCCAACTGTTGCTGGAGTATAGTGAGGAAACTGTAGCCAAAGTCGCGGGTGGGCTCAACCATAGTGCCCTCCCCGTAGTCGTTCCAAGTGGCCACCTGTATGTAGTCGGCGTTGGCTAAGGCCAGGCTCAGGGTCTGCGAGAAGGTGTCGGTGCCCACCGGTATGGTCCACGTGGGTCCGCCCCAACCGCCGGCCGCGTAGTCGGTGTTGAAGCCGGGATAGGCCACACCCATCTTGAAGGGCAAGGGATGGTTGGAGTAGAAGTTCTGCAAACCGCTCATGAAGTCGCTGTATATCCAGGGGTACTCTCCCTTCCCGGATGTGCCGCAGTCGCCGATCTGATACCACAGCGGAAGGAAAAGGGGTTTGGGGTTCAGGGGTGTGAATGCCTGATCCCATTGCGAGCCCTCCAGGGTTTGCGGTCCAAAGTCCAGGAGTAGTGGCGCGCCATTGATGCGGACGTAGTTGGCCTTGCTGAAATAGTTATTCTGCAGGTACTCCATGTCTTGAGTGGCCTGACCCACCGTATCGGCCACGTTAGCCAAGGCTAGGTTGTGGTCCTCGTAGTCGATGGCAAACTGTAGGCCATTCCGTTGGGTGCCGGCGATGATCGCCTCAGCATTCTGTCGGTTTCTGGCGTAGTCGAGGGCATTATAGCTACCTGGCCAGTCAATTATGACACCGGTTACTCCGGACAGTCGCATGAGACCCAACTGCCAGTCTATGACGTCGGGGTCGCCCGAGGCGTACAGGTCTATGAGTGGGTAGTAATGGGAGGCTATCTGTCGCTCGCCATTGCTTTGAATGATATCGGGATTCATGTTAGCCATAGTCCAGTGTTGACCCCATTGGCCGTTATTGGAGGCCTTTGTCTCAAACCAGGGCATCATATGTATGAACACCTTTTTGCCACTCGAAGCCGGAGTGGGCGCTGGAGGGGGTGCGCTGGTGGTGGCGGGAGTGGAGTCAGCAATCATATAGAAACAGTTGGGTCGACCAGCCTCGGTGGTCACCTGCCAACAGCACCCCTTAGCCGTACAACTGGTCGCTGTGGTGCTCACATCCCCACAGTCCTGGCGCTGGGATGTACTCATTGTGCACGTGTCGGCCCACAGTTGGCCCACACTTACGCCCAGTAGGCATACGATGAGAATGTAATTCATTGTGTGTTTCTGTATTGAAACAAATTTTATTGAAGTTTTCAAAACTGCTTTTTCCGTTTATATACCCTTTTTCAACGAATTTATCATTAATTTTAAATTGTTTACTCATTTTAGTCACCACATGTAGACCTACGTTTAATCGTACTTTGCAGCTACCACAATTAATAATATTTTGTGAATTCTTGTGAAATAAGCTATGAATATGCCAAAATATGGTATGATTTTAAATTAATTGCTATATTGTATTTTTACTATTAGTCACAAATCTTTTAACTCAATGTTATACTGTATGCCAAATTTCATTTTGTATCAACTGCTAATAATATAATTAATTATTATAACAATATTTTATAAAAGTCCAAATAAATTGTTTTGCACTAATACATTAAAATATGGTATAAATTAATTTGCAACTACAATTAATTGCGGGATAAAAATTTTATTATTTTATACAATTATTTTCTAGTGACGTAAAAATAATAATATTATTATATATTAAGTTTAATAAAATATATAAAAGTAATTTATTAAACTTAAATTAAGAATCATATAAAATTATTGTGAATTAAATTTAAATTAAAATATAAGTAAAATTTACTAGTTTATAGAATACTGTACTGTTCCCGGATACAAAATTGCATATAACTATTTGCTCGTAATTATGAATTCAAACAATAGTGAATAATATTAATATGTTATGTCTCAATACAGAGAACAATTAATTACATTCTCATTTTGACCTTGTTCACAATTAAAACCCAATAAATTGTTCAATATTTAAATTTTATTCACTATTTCTTTGTTATTGTTATTTTCTTAAATCTTATTGTATTTTTATTTCATCATAAATTTAATAACTAATTATACATTCCTATGGACCAGAGAGTATGCTTGGTGGTTCAATATTTAGTTGATGAGCTAGGTCATACTGTAAGAATTAATCAAGTTTAGTTGTTAGTTCTAAAATGATTTGTTGCATACAAACCGCAAATTTAATTTGATTGACGTGATAGGGTATACCACCCAAGGAGTCACACAGTTTCATGTGTTCCCTCTCGGGATCCCCGGCCACCATAACACTGGACTGACCACTGGCTGGCACTTGACTGCGACACGAGTCCATAAGGTCTTGCATTCGCTCAGCAAATCCCGGTGCAAAACACTCCGGGTTTATGGCTATAAAACAGTGACTCTTTGGACACAAAATTTATGAATAATGACAGTAATTTCAAAATAGTTTTGTGTAAAATAATTTCTTGATTACCAGGTTCATTGGGTCGAATGTTGTTTTGTGTTCATTAATGGTGGGCCCGTATAGACCTCCACTTAATATACCACATAATATCTCTACCATCATTGATAGGCCATACCCTTTATAACCACCTAGCAATATATAAAATAGTTATTAAAAGTTTATATTATAAACTCTATAATGTAATAAATCATTTTCTAAACCAAGTACAATAATTAAAATATACCTGTAATATACCTGTATTAGTCTGTGTTTTGTATTTAAAATGATAGTAATTATTAATTACTAATTAATGTTGCAATTATACATTAAAACAAGGTTTGCAAGCAAAGTTATACAACTTACATTTACTGTAAAATGATTATATAATTAATTATAAGAAAATAAATTATAGATAAAATCACCTTATTGTTATTTTAAAAAAACCTATGAAATTATATGCTATCTTAATTTTTATATTTTGTATTAGCGTTTGAAAGTGAAATCAATGATAAATAAGGCATTGGAGATATGGGGAGGGGGCAGGAAATGTAATGAAACCACAACTATAACTCACTTTTTTACGACGTAAATGTGGATAAAATATTTTATAATTAACACAACAATTAATACAATATTATATTTTCATTGCAACATAAATTTATTTACTACTACCCAATATTACTATTAAAATAGACCTTGTTTAATACATTAGCATAACATTATTCTTTATGTTATGATTGAGATGAAATTAATAAATGTTGAAATTATACATTAAAAAAGTATAATATTTTATTTTAATAAAAATCTATATTTAAAAACTTTGAAAACACATTCATTAAACACACAATTAAAGGACATTTACTATAAATGGTAAACAATATCATTTACTTAATTATTTTTATTTAAAAATAAATTATGCTTGTGTACAAACCAAAAATAGTTTACTTTTACTTGTAAAGTACATTGATATAATTCTAAATGGATTCATTTATTTTCATTGGTCATACAAGTTATACAATATATTAATATCAGTAATATCCATAAATCCATATCCGATAAATACAACACTTTATTGTTTTGATAAATCAATAATTTTCAGAAATAAAATGGCAATGTAGGTGATCAGCTAGAAATATGTTTAAAAATTAAAATATAAAAATATATAATTTAAATCACACCTCATATCCCCTGAATCTATTGATTAGGAATAGTGTCCAACAGTAAAAGCCAACCCTTTTTGTGGCCAACCTTTCCGTCCATATTAACAACTATTCAGAAATTAAAAATAAATTAAAATATTGTCATGATACTTAATTTATACTTTTAATCTAGTCGTAGGTGGTAAATGATAGTGATGACCAAGATAAGAATTAAATGAGTTATACATTTTATTATTTTCATTATATAAATTTGCAGCATAATGCATAATAAATAGCATGGTTACCATTAGCTCAAGGTACAACATAAATACAAACACCTTCACAAATAAATGTATATTTGAGAATATTGATGCAAATAAAAACATCGAGATGACCATGGTAATTAATATCCAATAGATTCCCAAAAATATTGACCAATAATTATTATTATAGTCAGAAATTTCACATAAATTTTCATTTAACTTATATAACATTTGTAATGAAAATTTATTTGTACTAGCTAATAAACTAATTGAGTTGATTTTTAATTTTAAATAATAAGCAATAATTGCAAAATATATTAATTGCCAAACAATTATAAAGTTTACATAATAGCAACCAATTATCCAGACAATAGTGTGTGGTATAGAATATACTAAAATATAATACCATGTTAAATTCATATAGAATAATGGGAATACACATGTAAATATAACAATTGGATGAAAATATGATACTAGCTCAGTCAATTTAATACATTTTCTGGAAAATTTGATTAATTTATAGACAATATGTTTGTCGTGAATACCAATACTAATGGGTGTTATTAAACCCGAAAGCATCCAAAATACACACAAATCCCGCGGTTTTATACCTCGACTATAGTTATAATAATTGAGTAGTTGTGATAAAATGGCGATTATTCCCATTATTGTAATCATACTCGAAAGTTGTACTCTAATTCCCATAAAATAAGTAAAATCTCCAATAATTGCATAAAACACTAGATTTTGTTCGGGTATTAAAACTAATATAAATTGTCGTAAAACACAAAACATTAAAACAATGAACACAACCAACGGGTCAAAAATAAATGGTCTGTTTGTGGCATTGAATGGCTTATAGAGTGAGAGACCTGTACTGTAGAGATGAGTACCGGCCCTCGCAATCACCAATGACCCTGGTAACACTTTATCGCATTTTATATTACTCTCCATATTATCTAAATAACAATAGTTTTATTAAAAATACTTATTTTTGTATAAGTTTTTATTTATATTTTATTTATAAAACTTTCTGAAATGAAATTAGTGTAATGGCATAAAATTATAAAATGTATTTATGTATAAATGTACTTTTAAAATTATAAATAATTTTAGTAACTCCAGTGTACAAAATATAAAATTTGAATCAACAATATAATAAACGTCATATTTTGTTTTATACATAAAATTGTAATTGCCTATTAATATGTTTAACTTTATATAATAATAATAATAATAATAATAATAATGGACTTTTATTAAGAACTTGTCTTAAAATAATACAAAAGTATTACAGATATTCATTCAAAAATTTTACAAATTTACCATATTTAATTTCACATCTTATATACTTTGGTAAATTATTAAATAATTTTACACAATTATAAAACACTTGTTTCTCACATAAAGTTAATCGTATTTTTGGTATTTTACAAAACAAACCATTTCTAGAGTTAGTATAAAATTCAATATCATTACACCATTTGTTAGGTATTTTGAATAATTTGTATTTAATTTTAAAAACAAGTAACAGGTATTGGATATCTCTTCGCTTTTTTAGAGTAAATAAATCTAAAACTTTTAGTCTCTCATCATATCTCATATCATTAAACCCTAATTTATTGCAAATATATTTTGTTACTCGTTTTTGTACTTTTTCAAGTCTATCACATTGTGTTTTGTTTAAAACTACTGATAAGTTGCTAAACTCTAGGATTGGCAATATATATGTCAAATACATTTTAAGAAATGTTTTACCATTACATCGATTACATGTATATTTTAGTACATAAAACTTTTTTATAGCTTTACTTACAATCAAATCAATATGAGAATTAAAGGATAACTTTTTATCATACATTATTCCAATGTGTTTATGACATTCAACAGTATTGATAGCAATGTTATTTAATTTATAAATATAATTTTCAATAGATTTGTTAGTAATCCTCATGTGTTCACATTTATCTGGATTTAGTTTTAAGGCATTTTCATTACAATAATTGTATACAATATTTAAGTCATTTTGAAGTGAATTGATATCACACTCATGATGTATAGCTTTCATTAAACATATGTCATCTGCAAACTGATAAATGTTACCTTGAATGTGTTTAACTAGATCAGCTAGATATATATTGAATAATATCGGGGAAAGTTTTGACCCTTGCAAAACACCTGACTTAACAATAATATCAGTAGAAATACATTCATTATATTTAACTTTTTGAATTCTATTAACAAAACAGTCATTAATTATATCCAATATATGATTTGAAAACTTATATTCTTTTAACTTTTTAATTAATCTGTTATGAGGAATGGTATCAAAAGCGTCACTTAAATCAAGAAATATGATATCAATTGCGTTTACATTCTTATCATTCAATGAATTAAAAATATATTTCTGTATATCTATGTGAATATCACAAATACTGGTAAAACTTTTATAACCATATTGATTAGTAGGGATTATTTCATTGATTTCTATGTACGGCATAATAACTGATAATAAAATTGATTCAAAAATCTTATATATATTGGAGACTACGGAAACGGCTCTATAAGAAGTGAATAAGTTTTTATTTTTGTTATGTTTGGGAACAGGAGATACCAGGGTTATTTTTAGTTCATTTGGTAGTTTACGATATTCAATCATTTTATAAAATAAACAGAAAAACATTTTTGAAATACCATTCAAACACTCTTTTATGACAATATTTTTGACAAATGTTTTTCCTTCACTTTTCTTATGATTGAATTTATTTAATGCTATAATTATGTCATTCATTGTTAATTCAAAATCTATGAAATGTTCATTACATTCAAAATCTAATCTAAAATCCAATGAAACATCATTTACTGAAAACTTAGATTCAAATATTGCTTTAAATTTTTCTACAATTAAATCATTTTCACTAATACTACAACCATTATCATCAATGAATGATAAAACTTTTGAAGTATTTGTTAAGCCTTTTAAGTGCTTATAAAATGAATAATAATTATCGGATTTGTTAATTAGATTATTAACTTTGTTAGTTTCATAAATTTCTATTTCTTGTCCAATATTTTTAGTTAATTTGTTATATTTTTCAGTAAAATGAGATTTATTTGATTTATACTTAACTAATTGTCTCCTGTTTTTAATTAATTGTCTGATATTACTATTAAAAAGTTTTTTATTAGAGATTTTAACTTTAATTTTAGATATATATTGATTAAAAATCGTATTATATTTAGCTTTAATTTCACTAAAAATATCATTAATATCAATACAATTGGCTATTATCTCAAACCAATTGACAGAAAATAATGAATGCTATAATTATGTCATTCATTGTTAATTCAAAATCTATGAAATGTTCATTACATTCAAAATCTAATCTAAAATCCAATGAAACATCATTTACTGAAAACTTAGATTCAAATATTGCTTTAAATTTCTCTACAATTAAATTATTTTCACTAATACTACAACCATTATCATCAATGAATGATAAAACTTTTGAAGTATTTGTTAAGTGCTTATAAAATGAATAATAATTATCGGATTTGTTAATTAGATCATTAACTTTGTTAGTTTCATAAATTTCTATTTCTTGTCCAATATTTTTAGTTAATTTGTTATATTTTTCAGTAAAATGAGATTTTTTGATTTATACTTAACTAATTGTCTTCTGTTTTTAATTAATTGTCTGATATTACTATTAAAAGGTTTTTTATTAGATTAAAATTGAA